CCCGAGACCTCCAGGAGTCAGTGAGCCGCGCGCATTCCACACAGACTTACCGTGGACTCCCACACTGATCCCCCAATACAGCCTCCGATCCCCGGATGGAGGACACACTGAGCTCACACTGCCCATAGAGGTCACCGCAGGCAAACACCACACTGAGGACAACTTCATACACTGTGCCATGTGGGAGCTCCAACCTTCCCTGGAGCCTCATATCTGACCTCCGTCCTTCCCTTCAGTCTTCTATCTGACCTCCGTCCTTCCCTTCAGTCTTCTATCTGACCTCCATCCTCCCCTTCAGTCTTCTATCTGACCTCCGTCCTTCCATTCAGTCTTCTATCTGACCTCCGTCCTTCCCTTCAGTCTTCTATCTGACCTCCGTCCATCCCTTCAGTCTTATATCTGACCTCCGTCCTCCCCTTCAGTCTTCTATCTGACCTCCGCCCTCCCCTTCAGTCCTCAAGCTTCCACCTGTGTGCAGCGTACGGAATAGAGCTCAGGCATGATCAGATCTGACGTCATACATGTGGCCACTAGGTGGCAGTAATATCAAACATATTAATTTAGAAATATTTAAAGAAGAACTCCGGGAACATTTTTTTAACCCTTGTAGTTGTCAGTAGACGGTGACCTCTGCAATACATGCACATCCCCCTCCCCGTCTTCTCTCCTTATAAATGCTGCAATCTACCAGAAACCCAGCGAGCTCCTAACTTCCTGCAGCTGGCTGACAACACTGCCTCTGCCGCACTGAAATCACAAGCACTGTTGTCAGCCCTGCTCGATTTTTTTTTCCCCCTGCTGGACTACAGAATGCCAACCACTTAGGTTAGGAAGATGGCGAGTGAGAGGTGCTTTGTAGTCTCAGGCAGGGATGACAACACCGTTTAGGATTTCAGCGTGTAGCCAGCTTCAGTCAAGGCAGCTTCATTGTTTGGTTTGGAAGGAAATCCAAGTGGAGGTGGACAGAGGTGGGTAGAGTTCTGTAGTCCAGCAGGCAAGGCTGACAACGCCGGCTACGATTTCAGAGCAGCAGTGGCAGTGTGGTGTCAGTCCGAACAGGAAGTTCACAACTCACCGGATTTCTGTCCGATCGATGGGTATTTTCTATGCTTGCAGTGTCTTTAATCAGGGCCGTCTTTAACGCAGGGCAAAAGGGGCAGCTGCCCAGGGCCCAGTAATTGTTGTGGGGCCCAAAGGGCAGCTGCCAAAGGTGGCTTTTGCACCTGGATAAGGGATAGGGAGCCTGCCAGGTGAGGGGACTACAGCCTGAATCAGGGCAGCATGAACAGGGGGTGTCTGATGGGGAGGCCCTGAGTGTCTGTACTGGCTGCTGCATGCGTGTATTAGGGTAGTTAAGGGGTTTGAGGACCTGAACTATGAAGCAAGGCTGTTAAAATTAAATATGTTCTCGTTGGAAGTAAGGAGATTAAGGGGGGGGCATGATCTTCTTGTATAAAATGTTTAATGGTGACAGCAACATTGTTAACAAACTGTTTACGGTCAGCTCCGTAACAAAGACAAGGAGACACAACCAAAAACTGGTGCAGAAAAAATTCCTACACACGGGGCGCAGGGGGTTCTTCACAGTCAGAGCGGTTAGGGTCTGGAACTCGCTGCCGCAGGAAGTGATTTCAGCTGAGAGTGTGGAATCATTCAAGAAAATCCTGGACGAGTTCCTTGGTGACCATAACATACAGGAGTACAGGTAACATACAGGGGTACAGGTAATATACAGGAGTACAGGTAATATACAGGGGTACAGGTAATATACAGGAGTACAGGTAATATACATGGGTACAGGTAATATACAAGGGTACAGGTAACATACAGGGGTACAGGTAATATACAGGGGTACAGGTACTGCTAAGAGGAAATTCACACATGGACTCATACACACGCACACAACAGCTCAAACATAGATGCATACACGCAATAGGTTGGACTTGATGGACTTATGTCTTTATTCAACCTCAAATACTATGTAACTATGTAACAATGTTTATTGATACAAATAAACTCTGAACACTTTTATTTCTGAAACATTCTCACTTTACAGCATTACAGCACCTGCCGAAAACTTTCCCATTGTAATGTATCACACGGAATTATAATGTATCACACGGAATTACAATGTATCACACGGAATTACAATGTATCACACGGGATTATAATGTATCACACAGGATTATAATGTATCACACGGAATTATAATGTATCACACGGAATTATAATGTATCACACGGAACTACAATGTATCACACGGGATTATAATGTATCACACAGGATTATAATGTATCACACGGAATTATAATGTATCACACGGAATTATAATGTATCACACGGAACTACAATGTATCACACGGGATTATAATGTATCATACGGGATACACAGCTGGAAACGGCTCCTCGCTTCACACAAACTTTCCTTTTTCAGTTGAACTCCCGACCTCCGATAATGACGCACCGCGGCCGGCGCTCCGCGTTACAAGTTTAGACGCTTCTGTTCTTTAATTCCTCCCTTCGGCGTTGAACTCGCCGCGCTCCCGTCACTTTATTTTTACACCGAGCACCTGTGTGTCTGGACTGAGAAGCAAATGATTCTAATTTTCTTTTTACTGCGGTCACATTCCGTCCCGCCAGCTGTGCGCCCCGTCCCGTCTGATAATTACTGTCTGCTTCCAGACAGCCGAGCACCGCCATCATTTCTGGTACCGGACCTCCGCGCTGGCAGGGAAATACGACCCGTCTGGGAAATGATATTGTTGTACATTGACCTCCATCCTCACCTTCAGTCTTCTATCTGACCTCCGTCCTTCCCTTCAGTCTTCTATCTGACCTCCGTCCTTCCCTTCAGTCTTCTATCTGACCTCCGTCCTTCCCTTCAGTCTTCTATCTGACCTCCGTCCTTCCCTTCAGTCTTCTATCTGACCTCCGTCCTTCCCTTCAGTCTTCTATCTGACCTCCGTCCTTCCCTTCAGTCTTCTATCTGACCTCCGTCCTTCCCTTCAGTCTTCTATCTGACCTCCGTCCTTCCCTTCAGTCTTCTATCTGACCTCCGTCCTTCCCTTCAGTCTTCTATCTGACCTCCGTCCTTCCCTTCAGTCTTCTATCTGACCTCCGTCCTTCCCTTCAGTCTTCTATCTGACCTCCGTCCTTCCCTTCAGTCTTCTATCTGACCTCCGTCCTTCCCTTCAGTCTTCTATCTGACCTCCGTCCTTCCCTTCAGTCTTCTATCTGACCTCCGTCCTTCCCTTCAGTCTTCTATCTGACCTCCGTCCTTCCCTTCAGTCTTCTATCTGACCTCCGTCCTTCCCTTCAGTCTTCTATCTGACCTCCGTCCTTCCCTTCAGTCTTCTATCTGACCTCCGTCCTTCCCTTCAGTCTTCTATCTGACCTCCGTCCTTCCCTTCAGTCTTCTATCTGACCTCCGTCCTTCCCTTCAGTCTTCTATCTGACCTCCGTCCTTCCCTTCAGTCTTCTATCTGACCTCCGTCCTTCCCTTCAGTCTTCTATCTGACCTCCGTCCTTCCCTTCAGTCTTCTATCTGACCTCCGTCCTTCCCTTCAGTCTTCTATCTGACCTCCGTCCTTCCCTTCAGTCTTCTATCTGACCTCCGTCCTTCCCTTCAGTCTTCTATCTGACCTCCGTCCTTCCCTTCAGTCTTCTATCTGACCTCCGTCCTTCCCTTCAGTCTTCTATCTGACCTCCGTCCTTCCCTTCAGTCTTCTATCTGACCTCCGTCCTTCCCTTCAGTCTTCTATCTGACCTCCGTCCTTCCCTTCAGTCTTCTATCTGACCTCCGTCCTTCCCTTCAGTCTTCTATCTGACCTCCGTCCTTCCCTTCAGTCTTCTATCTGACCTCCGTCCTTCCCTTCAGTCTTCTATCTGACCTCCGTCCTTCCCTTCAGTCTTCTATCTGACCTCCGTCCTTCCCTTCAGTCTTCTATCTGACCTCCGTCCTTCCCTTCAGTCTTCTATCTGACCTCCGTCCTTCCCTTCAGTCTTCTATCTGACCTCCGTCCTTCCCTTCAGTCTTCTATCTGACCTCCGTCCTTCCCTTCAGTCTTCTATCTGACCTCCGTCCTTCCCTTCAGTCTTCTATCTGACCTCCGTCCTTCCCTTCAGTCTTCTATCTGACCTCCGTCCTTCCCTTCAGTCTTCTATCTGACCTCCGTCCTTCCCTTCAGTCTTCTATCTGACCTCCGTCCTTCCCTTCAGTCTTCTATCTGACCTCCGTCCTTCCCTTCAGTCTTCTATCTGACCTCCGTCCTTCCCTTCAGTCTTCTATCTGACCTCCGTCCTTCCCTTCAGTCTTCTATCTGACCTCCGTCCTTCCCTTCAGTCTTCTATCTGACCTCCGTCCTTCCCTTCAGTCTTCTATCTGACCTCCGTCCTTCCCTTCAGTCTTCTATCTGACCTCCGTCCTTCCCTTCAGTCTTCTATCTGACCTCCGTCCTTCCCTTCAGTCTTCTATCTGACCTCCGTCCTTCCCTTCAGTCTTCTATCTGACCTCCGTCCTTCCCTTCAGTCTTCTATCTGACCTCCGTCCTTCCCTTCAGTCTTCTATCTGACCTCCGTCCTTCCCTTCAGTCTTCTATCTGACCTCCGTCCTTCCCTTCAGTCTTCTATCTGACCTCCGTCCTTCCCTTCAGTCTTCTATCTGACCTCCGTCCTTCCCTTCAGTCTTCTATCTGACCTCCGTCCTTCCCTTCAGTCTTCTATCTGACCTCCGTCCTTCCCTTCAGTCTTCTATCTGACCTCCGTCCTTCCCTTCAGTCTTCTATCTGACCTCCGTCCTTCCCTTCAGTCTTCTATCTGACCTCCGTCCTTCCCTTCAGTCTTCTATCTGACCTCCGTCCTTCCCTTCAGTCTTCTATCTGACCTCCGTCCTTCCCTTCAGTCTTCTATCTGACCTCCGTCCTTCCCTTCAGTCTTCTATCTGACCTCCGTCCTTCCCTTCAGTCTTCTATCTGACCTCCGTCCTTCCCTTCAGTCTTCTATCTGACCTCCGTCCTTCCCTTCAGTCTTCTATCTGACCTCCGTCCTTCCCTTCAGTCTTCTATCTGACCTCCGTCCTTCCCTTCAGTCTTCTATCTGACCTCCGTCCTTCCCTTCAGTCTTCTATCTGACCTCCGTCCTTCCCTTCAGTCTTCTATCTGACCTCCGTCCTTCCCTTCAGTCTTCTATCTGACCTCCGTCCTTCCCTTCAGTCTTCTATCTGACCTCCGTCCTTCCCTTCAGTCTTCTATCTGACCTCCGTCCTTCCCTTCAGTCTTCTATCTGACCTCCGTCCTTCCCTTCAGTCTTCTATCTGACCTCCGTCCTTCCCTTCAGTCTTCTATCTGACCTCCGTCCTTCCCTTCAGTCTTCTATCTGACCTCCGTCCTTCCCTTCAGTCTTCTATCTGACCTCCGTCCTTCCCTTCAGTCTTCTATCTGACCTCCGTCCTTCCCTTCAGTCTTCTATCTGACCTCCGTCCTTCCCTTCAGTCTTATATCTGACCTCCGTCCTCCCCTTCAGTCATGTCACACAGGCTTCCACATGAGACTACAGGTAAGCGTGTGAACACACACTACACAGACACGGGTCCACTAATGTCATGCGACCATTGCTGGAGTGCTTGTAGACAGGAAGTGGCTGCAAAGAGGCTGCAGGAGATCAGCAGCACTGAGATATATGAAAGGATGAGAAAGTGAAAAGAAGGATTTTATTTACAATACAAAGTAACTGTTTATGACACAAAGAGCACAAAACACACGAAATGTCGCCCATTCCAGGAACAGGAAAGTGATGTTTTGTATACAAAGGATTGCAGAGAGTCCTTCCAGTAAAGTCTGATCTCCTCCTGATTTCTGATCTCTGTGTGGAGGATGGGCGATGGAGGATGGGCGATGGAGGATGGGCGATGGAGGATGGAGGATGGACGAGGCGATTACAAGGGAAATGTACACAAAATAGAGAGGACACAATGCAGCATCGATGTCATCATGTTCCTGGAAGAGGCGGAGCTGATTTAAATGCCCCGAACTTTGTATTGTCTGCAGAGGAATGAGTCACCGTCTACGGACTGCACATTCCTACCGGATTACCGAAGAGGCGAAAGGTGGAATGACTTCACCCATCAGAGCCGCCCAATGGAATGACTTCACCCATCAGAGCCGCCCAATGGAATGACTTCACCCATCAGAGCCGCCCAATGGAATGACTCCACCCATCGGAGCCACCCAATGGAATGACTTCACCCATCAGAGCCGCCCAATGGAATGACTCCACCCATCGGAGCCACCCAATGGAATGACTTCACCCATCGGAGCCTCCCAATGGAATGACTTCACCCATCTGAGCCTCCCAATGGAATGACTCCACCCATCAGCGCCACCCAATTAAATGACTTCACCCATCAGAGCCTCCCAATGGAATGACTCCACCCATCAGAGCCACTCAATGTAATGACTTCACCCATCAGCGCCACCCAATTAAATGACTTCACCCATCAGAGCCTCTCAATGGAATGACTCCACCCATCAGAGCTACCCAATGGAATGACTTCACCCATCAGAGCCGCTCGTTGGAATGACTCCACCCATCAGAGCCTTCCAATGGAATGACTTCACCCATCTGAGCCTCCCAATGGAATGACTTCACCTATCAGAGCCTCCCAATGCAATGACTCCACCCATCAGAGCCACACAATGGAATGACTCCACCCATCAGCGCCTCCCAATGGAATGACTCCACCTATCAGAGCCGCCCCATAGAATGACTTCTCCAGACTGGTCTGTGTGCAGGATGCTGGAATATAAAAGCCGACACTTCTGGATGAGGTCACGGGGTCACCATTCCATGTCTCCGCCCACTTTCCTATAATAGGGAATTGACCCGTTGTTTTTATTGATGGGG